GGCTGGTACAGGATGACAAGGAGCCCCACAAGAAGGTGAGGTGAGTGGTCTTGGCAGATACGGGCCCACCAACTTCTCCGAGGTTCTCCGCACCGGATCGGCAAACTGGCGGAGGCCAGAGGCGCCGACCAACCACTACCCGGCTATAGGGGAATATCGGAGTCATCGGAGTTTCCCAGGATGTAGTCCTACGCCCTGAGAACTCGTAGCCGCCTCGTGCTCCCCATTCAAAAAGAAAAAAAAATAACTAAAGAATCTCCAACTGCCTTGAGGCACTTAATCAATACGGTCAAACAAAATCTCCATTCATTGAATAATTTAAGAGAGTCCTATACCAATACAAACGCCATGTTTATCAGCCTCATCCTTTCGAAATTACCACCAAATATCATTAAACAGTGGGATCTCACGTTACCTAACAAGGAAGTGCCTCAGTACACTCAACTACTGGATTTCCTTGAGAGACTGGCACTCAACTCCATATCGGTCTCCATGGTCACGGCGACAAGAGGACAGGCTCTGTCAACATGTCCGACCTGCCGAGAACCATACACCATTTGGAAATGTGACTGGCCTTGAAACCTTTTGTCGAGCGCCTTAAGGACGTTGAAAGGACATCCCTATGCATCAATTGCCCGAGGAAAGGGCACTCAGTGCGAGATTGTCACGCCGGATCATGTCGTACGTGCCGAGAATCGCATCACACGATGCTGCATAAGATCAAACACCACTAGAAGTCTCGTTCTGTCACATCCAGTCGAAACTCCTCTCCGTCAAGCAGTCGATCCGCGACACCCTTTTCGCAACCCTACTCATCACCTACTCGTCATCGCAAATCCACAACAAACCACAAATCGGGGAAACCACGAACAAATTCGTCTCTAAGCCCATCCTCTAGCCATCGACAAACACACAATGACACCGACAATCGACGATTCCAATGACGATCGAATATATTAACCTATTAGCATCCGTCTCACTACACAACGATCTGGTAATCACGACTCAGATCAGCATTTTGTACGATAAACAACGATGTTGTCGAGGGTTGCTCAACATCGGATCTAGCATGAACTTCATAACCAAAAAACTGGCAAAATCACTTGAAATAAGGTAAAGGAAAATTGCGGTCCCAATTGGAGCCCCGACACCTTAACGACGATTTCTAAGCGCTACATTACGGCCACGCTCACTTCTATTGACAGTACTTACGAACGCACATTGACGTTTCTCATTATCCCGACCATATCGACCTCAATCCCAACTCAACTCATCGATCGCTCGACACATGACATATCCAGGAATTTTCGATTAGCCGATCCACGATTCCACTTACCAGCCCCGATCGATGTCTTATTGAGCTCGGGATCAACACTTGCGTCGATGTCTGCCGGACAAATCAATTTAACGCAGCCAGACAAGCCCGAACTGCGTCTGCAAAAAGCGCGATTCGGATGGCTCATCGGAAGGAGCCCAATTTCCCAAACCGCGACAAACACATTTCACGCATCCACGACGGCTCTACAAGCAGACCTCGCGCGATTTGGGGAAATCGACGAAGGACCGCCGATTAAACATATTTCAGACGCAGGTCGACGATGCGATGAACTCTTCCGAGTCCACGTCCGACGCACCAGAGAAGGACGATAACCATCGCTCTCCCATTCAACGACCAGCTTCAGTCGCTTGTTTCTCCAAAACGCTTGCGATGAAACGACACGCCTCTCTCAGCCACCGATTCCAACGCGACAAGCGCTTCAAATCAGAATATCGAGCGGTATTACAAGAATACCTAGAGTTGGGACATATGACGAGGGTCATCACCAACCACTCCAACGATAACAGATACTATCTACCACATCACGGCGTAATGAAGGCATCGAGATAAACCACCAAACTCGTGTCCGACAGGTCGGTAACAAGCACCACCGGAGTTTCTCTAAATGATACGCTTTATACAGGGCTCAAGTTACTGGAAGACTTGTTTTACATACTCCTTAGATTCCGCTCTCATCAATACTTCACATTGAAAAGATGTATCGGCAATTCCTTGTGCGACCAGAAGACCGAAAATATTAAAAAATCTTATGGTGCAGCACGGGTGGGGAAACCGAAACGTACCAACTCAACACCGTAACGTTCGGTTTATCCGTAGCCCCGTGTCTAGCCATTCGGTGCCTCAAGCAACTGACAGAGGACAAGGGACATCGGTTTCTGCGCGCAGCGCAGGTCCTGCAATGGGATTTCTACGTCGACGATACCCTCACCGTAGCTGAGACGAAGAACGAAGCCCTTACACTGAGAACAGAACGGCGAGAGTTAATTCGCCGAGTTACTTAAACTAGCTGGTTTAAACATACGGAAATAGGCATCAAACGACAAGGAACTGTTACAAAGTCTCTCCGAAGAGGAGACAAACCACCAACATCTGGTCGATTCGCAAACTTTAAAAACGCTTGGTGTATTTTGGAATTCCTCTGTCGATTCCATCCTTTACTCAGTCGAGATCAGACCCACCAATTCTAGGACCCGCTCGGATTACTCGCGCCGGTGATCGTTCGGGCCAACGAACGAGTTTGGTCATTGAAGGTCGATTGGGACGAATCACTTCCGGTAGATTTACATTCAGAATGGGGCAGGTACTATGCCCAGTTACTACTACTAAACAACATCAAGTTCCAACGCAAAGTAATAATCGAGTCCGCAACGGAGATCGAAAAGGCTTACGGAGCCTGCGTTTATCTCCGAACCATTAACCCTGACGGGCTCGTCTGGACACAGTTTCTAACAGCGAAATCAAAGGTAGCCCCGCTCAAATCCCAGACCATTCCTCGGCTCGAGCTGAGCGGAACACTGCTTCTCACGTCCCTGATCTTGGGAATACAGCAAGCCCTATTGAACAATCTTACTCGAACCGTTTATTGGGCGGATTCTACCATCGTGCTCCATTGGATAAACACCTCGCCTCACACGCTCAAAACATTTGTCGCCAACTGAGTATCCGAGATTAAAACGAAGACCAGTATCCGCGATTGGCACCATGTTCCCACTAACGACAACCCCGCGAATCTAATATCACGAGGTCAAACGCCCGAAGAGTTACTGCGCCCGACCATCTGGCAGCACGGTCCTGAGTGGCTTTAACAGTCGAAAGACTGCTGGCCGACATGGATACTAACACCGCAAATTGAAATACCGGAACAGAAAAGGGCGATCTGTCTGTCCGTGACTCCCGCCGACCATAGTTTGTTGCAAAGATACTCATCTTGGCCTAAACCAATACCGCTCGCTGCCTTCGATGGAAACAGAAACAAAACCGAGCGTCACCCTTAACTATGGACGAATTAAAGACAGCACACAACAAAATTATAAAATTATTACAAAACAGTCATTTCTCCGAAGAAATTGGCACCCTCCGTAAGGATCGAGACGCGGCGGTAAAAGGAAAACTCACGCGACTCAATTCATTTATAATCATTCATAATCATTCATTTATAAGGAAGGGATATTGCAAGTTAGGGACCGACTCAGTCACTCGCCGATGCCCTTCGCCCAGAGACATCCAATCATATTGTCTAAGTCAGCCGTAACGGCTCTAATAATCGAACACGAACATAAAATCAACCTACATTCTGGAACACAGGCTGCGTTGTACGCAGTAAGACAATGGTGCTGGCCCATTGACGGCCGAAGTTAAGACTGGCATACTGGGAGTCTTGGTCCTTTTTCAATTAATGCTACTTTTTTTGTAATATTAAACTTTCAATGGTTTATGAAATTAATAAAGTAGAACTACTATAATCTGAAATAATGTAATACAATATAAAATCAAAGAATGTTAAATACAAATTAGAAAAACTAATCATCTTCTTAGATCAGGATTTTCGGATTTAACCCTTTCCGTGCCCATTGTCAGTGCTCAGATGCTACTTGAATGGCAGAAAGATATTGAGCACGATGGCCATAATTAATTCAAAAATTTCTCAGCGACTGACAATAGTGCACGACGTATTTTCCACAGTGTGTGTATCTATGTGTGGTTAAACAGTGGTATTGCGCCGTTTTTCTCATTCGCTACAACTCAAAATATTAAAAATGTTCAGACGTATATTAATTTAATTTATATATCAATATAATCACAATTTGTGACAATATCACAATTATGTGTAACCACGCTGTTAATATTGCTATCAATTAAAGTTATAATTCCAAGTTTACTTGCATTTATTTTAACAATATAATTTCTTTAGACGTCTTTCATCACGTTTTGCGCAATGGTCAACTAGCCTTCGTCAGTCGATTTCTGGAAAATGGTACGTAATTTAGAGTGTGCATATTGTATGTTAAGCTTGGATGTTGGAGGCGTCCTGGGACATCCTCTCTAGTGTTTTGTGCCCGAGTGTTTGTGTGAGAATCGTGGAGTAGGTGCATTGGTGTACTTGTTTTGCCTACTTAGTAGAGTATAAATAAGAACGGAATATTCTAGAACTATATAACTCCATTCAAATCATTGTAGCTGTCAATATCAATTGAGGATTAAGATCTTAAACCTAAGGAAGATTCTTTAGTGATTTGAAAAACTTCTAAAAACGATTTTGATGAGCAGATTGAGGTGTTCATTACAAGAGAACGAATGTGCGAGATTGCGAGCCCGTAGGACACGGGAAATTAGCAAAGATCGTCAGAGGGTGAGACGTGGCCCTGTGACCTAATTTAAGAAGTACACCGCACCAACTTCAAATTAAAGAAACTTCCTGCTTTATTCCGAAAAAGAAAACTAGTTACCAATATTATCAATGATGACATCTTGTTATATTCATACTTTGCTATTTGTTACTTTATCACATTGCACATACATTTCAATTATTCTATTTTGTTATCAACATAATTCTTTTTGTAAATAGTGTTGCGTGGCCTTTCTAATATATTGGGGAATTCGGCACATGAAGTGCTGAAGCGCTTTGTTTGCATAACAACTTCAAAGAATTCGAAAAAACTAATTCGATGTTTAAATGAAGAAATACACAACAAATTAACTTGAACAACAATTTATATTTAAAACTAATAGATTGAATACTTTATTAAAGATTTGCACCGTTATGAAATTTACTTAAACTCTCAGCTCAACGGTTCTAACGATTCTACATTTTGGGCCACAGAGTAACCATCGCTGCCTTGGCAATGTTCCTTCCCATGGTAACGAAAGTAAATACGAAATTTGAAAGTGATCACAGTTATTACTGATAAATAATTTTGACATTTAGTCAATAAATTTGTTAAATAACTTTAGTTCGTTTGCCTTGGCTACGCTACTGTACAGTTAAATTTGCAGCGCTAGAATGTATCCTATTATGATACAAGATATTCGCGCTAGAGGGAGCCACATGCCTACGCCAGTTCACAAGTTAGAGACGAGAATTTAAAGTGTTAAAACGTGTCAAGCACATAAAGTTTGATCAAAATCTGTTGTGAAGTTCGGTTTAGTGTTAAAGTGTGAAACAAGTAATTTAAGTTTCTCGTTATAATAAATAAAGTATTTATTGTGTTATAAGAGTTATTGAATCATTAGAATTAATTGTCGAGAGCCCCATAAATGAGCCACATAAATGACAAACCAGGGATACCTATTCAGCTTTCATGAAAGTACAGAAAAAAATGCATAATTAAAACGATGTAATTATAGACATTTAAAAAATGATATCAAGTTTCGTTAAACAATCTTTTGTACAAATTTGTTTATTTTACATACTTATTTTGAAAATTGTAGTAAGTTGTGATAAATTAGATGCTCGTGTTTCATTAAAAGTGCAAGGAACGGGATTTCATAGGTTAGACCATGGTATCACAGTAAAGCAAAAAAAAGTCTATTATCCAATCTAAACGGGTGAAATTTGATTGTACGTTGATAATTTTATTCAAAAAGCAAATTATGTATCATTATGTACTATTCATAAGATAAAAACATAGATAATTTCTGTAAGTTTTTTTACATAATAGAAACCATTATTTTTTATCACGTACAAATGTAGAAATTAAGAATTTCAATCCTAATTGTTCTACTATAGCTTGCTCCATATATACTGTTATTTTATTTAATAATAATTATATGTATGATATATGTATGTTTATATAATATGAATCAAATGTCCCATTTATTAAATATATATATATATATATATTTATCTTGGTAAAATGCTTGGATAACACAGACTGAAATAATAAAGATTTATCAAAATCATTAAAACATTTTGTTTTATTTTTCACGAAAAATTCTATTTACAGAGATTTAATATATCAAGTACATGTCGATCAATTTATAGAAGAATGTTACGTAGCCATTTATTTACAACTTCCATCTGCTTTATATGCTAATGTTAATGAATTGACTAATTTAAGAAGACTTGGAATTGTAAGTTGATAGAAATACAATTAAAGTATATAATATATATATATATGAAATTATCTTAATTCACATATATACAAATCAGATTTCACAATTTCAGAGTACAGCATGTGTTAATGGAGAGGCTGACATCGAGTTATTTGCTGAGGAAGCACAGACACAAACTGTAACCATTTGCTCGAATTTGAGTCGTGCAGAATGTGCTTTAAAAGTTCCAATACATCAACGTTATCAACATGCCAACGATAGTAATAAATACATGAACATTACTTTACCAAACCCAACGCTATTATTAGGTTGTAAAAAAAGAATTAAGGATTATAGAGTTTCTAAACTTGATTTGTGTTCTCCATGCGTAGAGATTGTACCTAAATGGAGAGAGATTCCATATATCATGGTAAAAAATAAATTTTGTTACTTAAGTAATACAATTATTTTATCTTTATCTTTATAAATAGAAATGTTTTACTTTTTGCATCCATTTTGCAGGATAAGGAAAACGTATGGACAATACCAGTTGGTGAAACAACTATGTTACTTGTAGTAACTTCTATCACATTTTCATTAACTATTTTATGTACACTATGTCTTATACAAACAATTTGGAAATCTATGTCAGAACATTTTAAAACTGAGTAACATGTTTTAAATAAACTTGTTTGCTTAATATAATCATTAATCATCATTATATATATATATATAATTTTGTAATAAATATTAAATATAATACACATAAATATTCATGTACATACAGCACTCACATTTTAAAATATTTTTCGCATACACTTGCAAATAAAATAATAATGCACTCTGCAATCACAATATTTACAATACATTATATGAATAATGTTATATTCTTTAGTATCAGAGCAATATTACGACTCTTTTCCTAAATCCATCTTTTCAGTATCTTTTTCTCTTTGTGCATATCCCTTTTCCATCGATGATTCAGTTGCAGAACTCATAGAGATATCCTTTTTCTCCTTTATAGGGTCATTCCATTCTTGAATTTTAGATGTACCAAACACAATAAAAGTCAAATTTCCAAGAAAATATATTATGGATGTTAAAAAGAACATATTTCTCCATTCCTCAACACTATTCTGAAGATTGAAAAATAATAAAAGATTTAGATTATTTACTTTTTCACATATTATCTTAAATAATTAGAGTACATTAATGAATTATTAATATAAAAACGTTTGTGAGTATGCGACATAAAATATTAATAATTAAGGAACCTGTGACAAGTTTACATTCTTCCCATTTTGCAACCTCAGTTCAGTCTCTCAAATCATTATGATATAGTTAAGCAATAGCAAAGAAGATTACAAGAGAAATATTCCAATTAGTTGACTTTGGTGTTAACGAGCTTTCGCGAGTTATTAGTATAAATGAGAATCGGGGCCTAAAATCAATACATTGATAATATTCACGTAGTTGTAAGTTACACAACTCCTGTAGCCTCGCATATGCAGCTATGCGCAGGGTCTTTAGATTCGTCCGACTTTCGTTTATAAACAGGAGATAGCGATCAGCGGCCGATAAACACTTATGCATACGATACCATAGACCGATAGCTTTTCGCGAACATCTCGGAAAATAAGTGACTATACCCTTTATATATATGGAAAAAAGTTGTTCAAAATATCAATTTCTATAACTATATTGAAAAATTATCCGAATTTGAGGGTAGACAGCTTTTCTACAGTTTCGGAAAATATTGTCTGAAAGTAATTTTGTTAATGAGATTTCAAGATCGTCGTCATCTTTTTTAGTGGTACTTATCGACATATTACTCACCTTACCGATTTCGATAATTTTTAGATACATTGTAGAGATCAACATTTTGAACAACTGTTCTCCCTATATATAACCGTGGCTCGGCTCTTAGTTTGCCAAATATTCACAAGAAACTATTGATATCGCTACAGTGAATTTTGCCTATAATCATGCGTCCGTGACAGGGCACCCGTTACTATTGATTGTTTACCGCTTCATGGCGGCCAGATAAAATGACACCTCAAGCAAACTTAATTCTTATTTTTGTTTATAGTTTATATAGGTTTGGATTAGGCGTCATTTTATCCGGCAGTCGTGAGGTGGCAACCAGTCACCAATACCGACGCATACCCTTTCATGATCGTTCAATAGTAGGCAGAATCCACTATGGTGATACCGATAATTTTTTGCAAATATTTCAGTAACTGAATGGTGGTTATATGTATAGAAAAAAGGTGTTCAAAATGTTGATTCCTAAAATATATCTAAAAATTATCGAAATCAGTAAGATAATTAAGATATCGATAATTACCAACGTTATCTACTATTACATGTGCCTTTCCAAGTTGTCCTCTCTTTTGTCCTGTGGAGTTTTTTCTATATGATCATTAAGTAACAGAGGTATTTAGGTATTCCGATTTGTATGCCCCACTCTGTATGTAGAAGGTATATATATACTATCAACTATACTATCAACTTGCAAACGTTCATTAAAATTGAAGTCGGTCAATTGGAATCTTATTCTTGTTAGTATAGAACGTCAAAATTCTACTCGTATGCTATCATGGTAAAGTTAAAGCAATTTATCTTTTGACGACATTTGAAATATCGATTTACTAACAAAAGCTGCAAAGTACAATCCTTTCCAAAAAATGTTTCTAGCTTGTATACAGGTTGGAACGATCAACCCAATTACCGTTTAATTAACTGTTATAGGTGTACATATTATGTAAGTAATAATACGTATACTGTATATAATATATGGTAAATAAAAATAACGACGAAAAAAGAGGGGATACAAACACGCAACGACATGAGTATTAATTCGACTTACAAAAGATCAAATTTTTATGATTTCTATTTTTTCTTAATAAAACATATTTAAAATGTTATTCAACTCAGACTGTTCATTAGTTCTATCTGCCTGAATTGAGAATGCCAAGAAAAGTCAGTAATAATAGAATAATCTAACTGCATAGAGAAGAGTAAATTATTTTAGAAATAACAAAGAATTATTATTATACATACCGGATGTTTAACGATGATACTGGCAATTAGCGGAGCCAAAATGCTACAAATATTTGCCACGGTATTCGTAATACCCATCAAAGGACCAGCAAAGTTTGGACTAAGATCCATATGATTGACATTATGTCCACAATAAATAGCAACATTACTAGCAACAGCGAATATTAAAAGTGCTCTTGCTATTCCAGGTTCTTCCTTAGTAACATATCCAAGACCGATTAATGCAATTGCTGGGATCCATTCACCGATCGTATTACAAATTTTTCTCGATGCTTGTACGGTTAAAATATTTCGTTTAATCAGGACATCCGAAATATAGCTAATTGGGAAACTACAAATCCATGCTGTGAGATATGGTAGTGCACTCCATAGACCATTCTAAAATAGATCAAAATAAATATTTAGTTTTAAACTTTTGTTCGAGTATTTATGAAAGTAAATAGCTGTGGGCCTCCAAGTGAAGAGTCCAAAGGAAAGGATATTGTATCGTGTCCGCTGTTTTCTTTCCGTTATATATGTATATATATATATATATATATATATATATATATATATATATATATATATATATATATATATATATATATATATATATATATATATATATATATATATATATATATATATATATATATATATATATATATATATATATATATATATATATATATATATATATATATATATATATATATATATATATATATATATATATATATATATATATATATATATATATATATATATATATATATATATATATATATATATATATATATATATATATATATATATATATATATATATATATATATATATATATATATATATATATATATATATATATATATATATATATATATATATATATATATATATATATATATATATATATATATATATATATATATATATATATATATATATATATATATATATATATATATATATATATATATATATATATATATATATATATATATATATATATATATATATAATTTGACATTCATACGACATAACGCTATTTTATGATGAAAAGTGAATATTTATCGAAAAATTTATTCGGTTTTTTAACAGATTTTACAAAATGTCAAATTAATATTTCATATTATTCCACTAATATAGTCACCATGTTTGCTTCAAAATAAATAATAATGCTTCTTTTCTATGTTAGAGTTTTCTTCTAAAACACGTTACATTCATAAAAACTAAAGACAATAAGGCTTGAAGAATTGAGATATTTTCGAAACTCATCTGGTAAACGTAAGTCTACTTTTTCAATGGCAATCTCTAATGAACCTCTATGTAAAGTTTGAAGATCGTTCTGTCATTCTGACAGTCAACGAGGAACTTTCAAAGAACTGAAAATATTAAGTTAGAATGTCATTTGAGTGTATTATGTGTACAGTGCACTTGATGTGTGTACTGTGCACGTAATGAGTGTTATATGTATGCAGTGTAGCAGTATTTATACTGTAGCCATATTTATTACAATATGTATACATTTGAAGAACTTTCGGACATGCACTTTTGCTATGTTACGGCGGACGGCAATAATACAAAAGCGCGAAGTTTATACGCCGAAAAATATCCCAATAGGAATAGACCCAGCACAAAGATATTTTGCAAAATAGACCAACGATTGCGGAATAGCGGTACGTTAAATCCTGTAAAATATATTCAAGAAAATTCAAAAAGAAAAAATCTTTGCGAATGGATGAGTCGAAAAATCGAACGCATCACCATATTCTTCCAACTCAATGCAAGGGCATTTAAACAATTGTTTTGGAAACAGGTGGTCAAGGAGGACCTGTGCTTTGGTCTACTCGGTCCCCAGATTTAAATCCTCTCGGCTTTTACTACTGAGGACACACGAAAACACAATACGTCAAAATTTTAAGAGAAGAGTCAGGCTCTGTTTACAAGAAAACGGAGGACATATGGAACATCTATTGTAATTTGTTTGTATTTTTTGTGAACACTCGTGGCCGGGACAATCGCGGTGCGTGTGTGATTTTGCTGTGAACACTCGCGGAGGCAAAAGATTAGAGAAAACATTAATCCTCTTTACTTGGAAATTTCATAGAGCGGTTTTCAATATGCTCTTATGGATTTCGACGAGTAAGCAAGTTTAATGTTCAATCTACCATTTCTTTTGCGAAGTGTTGCGTGAGATTATTTACGTCTCTGAATACCATGGTTTCCCTCTCTACGACTTATGTGAGATAAGCTGTCGCTCACGTGTCGTTCGGATTAAAAATCACTATGCGCTCCGCTGCTTAGACTGACCTCCTTTCGTTCGTGTAAGGAGATTTGCTCGCGTGCAGGAATATTTTCGTCGATTTGTAATTGTCAATAACTAAAAAGCAAAGCCGAAAACGTAATTTTTTTATTCTTGATTCTTGTCTTATTTCGACGTCAAAAATCACCCCTTAAATTATGTAGAAATAGTAGCCGAACTCCCTGCGTATATACATTATACATATACATATACTATATGTATATACATATAGTATAGTAACGCAATTTAATAGCTCTCCCTAATTTCTAATATATGGTAGCAAATATTTAAATTTCTTTTTATTATTATTATTTATTTTTATTAGAATTATTTTTCTTCTGGACTCTTCAATTACGTGAAAAGACTGATGTTATATTCTTCGAAAAGAAACATTATCACGAGTTTTGTTACATTATATTAATATCTTATTTCAAATTCTGATATCGACAATTTTATTTAAGGACAAGTTGAAAGAGATCTTGTAAAAATAGGAAATAATTAGGTTACTGTAAGGATGCTAAACAATCGGATAAACTTGTCAATATACGCGTTACATGCAAATTAACACGAATATGTCAAAGGATGTATTTTATCTGTTACTTACGTTTTGTATGTCGGTATCAAAGACTGATCCAATGTACGAAGGAATTTTTGTTAAAAGCATCCAGAAGCCCCAAGTGTGAGCAGACTGTGTAACCAATAGTGCCCACATTGGTATACTGGTTAATATTTTAATCCAAGGAGTTGATAATTTCTAGAAAAATATTACAATTTTGTTATAATTTAAACGTTTCTGCTTGCTTCTTTATTCTTTATAAAATGTGATGAAAAATTTTAACACTGAAATTATAACGTGTTTTGCGATCACAATGTTTATGTCGTTTTTTATATTTAATATGAAATACTATAAATTTAGATACCTAGTGTCTATATTTAGATTAGGAAGGCTTAACCAGGAAGGATGAGGAACTATTACTCTTACCTCTTCTGTTTCTATCATTCCAAGACTATTTTCAATGTATTCTTTTTCATCTTGTGGTATACTTAGATGTTCAGCGGGTGATTCTTTACCGATGAAAAAGAACAGAATACTGGAAACAATTGCTATACAGCCCCAAACATAATAACAGCTAGGCCATCCCAAACGAGAAGCTGACAGTTGTCCAGTACTCCATAAACAAAGTACGTTTCCAATCCAGCCCCCGGCATAAACGAAGGTCGCTAAATGTTGCGTGCAATAAATATGTCAGATACTTTTGATAATTACTGGTGTAAGCATTCGATTGCTAAAAGTAATTGTATAGTCTATGTTCTTAATTTATTTTCACTTATAAAATTATCATCTGTTTAATTTTGTCATCCACTTTAACATACTGATTGTCAAAAATAGAAAATAAAATATATAGAAATATAATAAAATATATAGAAAATGAAATGTAAAAAATAATTTTCACTGCCATCATAAATATTTTTCATTTGAATAATTTTTAATGACGTTATTTTATTGAAATTTTACATCAATTATTAAAACGCGTATAATTTATATATGTACAAAAGATACGTACTGTAGGTAAAGATACATATATACGCTCATGTACAGAAAATAATTTATCAAAGACAGTCGAGTAACTGAAATGAAATATCAAACTTAATGATTTCTAAGATAATTAAAAGAGATCGTTAAATGTAGAAATCATGAATGGATGTTAACTGTTGTTTAGATACAATGAACTACGATGACCGATACAATTTCTTGAAAAGATTCTTATCGTTGTCAAACGATTCTATAAAATTACTTTGATTATCGATTGGCTTAATAATGGTTCAAAAACCAAAAGAGTCAAAGAACAGCCTTTTGATGATTTTTCGTGTGGAAATTGCTCAAAGTTGCTCAAAATTGCTCAAAATTGCTTAATAACTTAATTTAATTCGTATTGTTGGAATCGAAACAACATTTTAAATGATCATTTCGTATCAATATTCATAATCTGCCTCGATGATCAAAATTTGTATTCATTAAATCATTAAAACATTAAATACTTACAGATTCTCCCTCTTTCGTCCATAGGCGCCCATTTCGAAAGTAATGTGTGAAGACACGGTAAAACAGTGCCTTGAAATAAACCGGCGATTACTCTAGTAGCACAAATCGCTTCCCATCCACAGTACTCGGCAAGTACGGGAATTAAAAGTGTTACCAAACCACATGCGAATTGCGCCAGTGAGAAAAGTTTATGAGCTCCCCATTTTTGTGCCACTATGCTACCAATAATTTGCGTGCACACATATCCCCAGAAGAAAGAACTCTGAATTATATCCTTTGTGGCGTCTTTCCATGGAAATTCCTTCAATGAAAAGGATGAAAACTGTAGAGAATAACCTAGAAGCAAATTGTTTCGTAGCTTCTACTTTTTAACAAGTATTATTGTAATATTTTGTCAAAATTAATATTTTTTATTTTGCTTGAGAATTTGTGCTATATATGTATATGTATAGAAAGCGATTCGATTTAAAGATATATGCACATAATGTGCACGTAAACGCGCGCTAAATTCCTTCTATACATACGCATACCGAATTTAGCACCCATTTACATATAAATTACGTATAGAATATGCAGAATCAATAACTAAATTCAAGTAATTAGTCGACGTACAATACAAAGTATATTTGAATCATTTGAACCATTTTATACATACTTGTACATTTTATAATTACGATGGACATATAAAATCACAGATACTAATCTGACAATGAGATTTATTCGTTGTAACTATTACGTATTTTGACATTCAAAATATATAATAGCCATCTACATAAATACACCGTTAACTGCAGGTGTTAATTTTCTACGAATCGATATTGCTTTCTGTATATAAATCCATTTTACAAAATGGTCAACAAACGAATAATTAGTAAGCAGATCGAAAGACGGGAAAATGGTCATACTGGAAAATCAGGATTTGCAGATTTCGCATTAGTCATTGCTTCTAACGTCACTGATGTAGTAACCCTAATGGCATAACAACAGAGAAAGCCCAGTGCCATTAGAAGACTCTGTGTGTGTCTACATCCGTATCGTGCTGTAAATTATAAATTAAAGAGTTTCATTAATGGTAAGAAACAAATGATCGACGTACGCGATATACATGTATAGTTATAGAGAGTATAATGTCAATTTTACTATGAACTTTAAACGTTATAAATAAATGAAGTGTTTATCATTTAAAAAGGGCATACCGTTAGGTTGGAAAAAAGTGCTGTGTCATCCGTTTCAAGTAAAGATATTAATTAAGAAATAAGTATTCATGAAACACGTTTTTAGTCCTGCATTTGAAATTGGTTGCTAATGCTACTATAGAACTCATAGGAAAATCAATTGTTGTTTTACTTACAAGGTTAGTTATAACCTTATTATTTCGATAGCTGTAGCAAAAACTTTTAGAAAGCGATAATTCTTTGTAGATCATTCATTCTATGCTAGTTGTGATTATGTCATAATACTCATTTTGTAGATATTATTTTGCTTTATTTACATATTTATTAGGTATTGTAAAATCGTGCTTAAAGCGAAATAAAATTTTATAGATGTATCGTGCTTATGAATAGTATTCATTTACACGTGCTTCTCACGTGATCCACCGTCGCAGACGTGATTGCATTTGAAACATAAGATTTTAATCGCAAAATTCTTTTTGCTTTTCATTTCATTCTCGAACAGTTTCATTTTGTTCTCCCGAAAGAACGAGCTATTTTTTCGTGATACATTATCACTCTTATTTTACACAAATTCATACTTTTAAATACGTAATATTTTATTTAAGGACTTTTAAAGAAATAATAGAAGAAAGTATAATTTAAATAACGCGAATAACGTGACTATAGAAAATAGAACCTAGGTAATACATACTTATTGTTACATCTTATTTGCACATTCTTTTTTTCTCTTTCCTTCCATTCAAGGTTTCGATTAAATCAAAATTAATGAACGGGTACGATTGTTATTTCATAAATAACATTAATCTTTTAATCCGTGATTTATCTTCCTCTTGTCCGTTTATAAGTTTCGTTGGTTGCTGTTCGATAGCATGTTATCGTACGATTAAATGATACTAGTTTAAAGTTCTGTTAAAACCTTTGAACGATAATTATCAACCGCTTTGAAGTAACTTGTTGCATTCTCTATATTTCTTGCATACCACGATCGTGCAATGCAGAGAATGCGGATGAGCGATTCGTTTATTCCATATTTCTAGGACATCGCGGGAAATCTGACATTGACGAACTGTTGGCGTCATGTCTTGGAATTCAAAGCGATTCGTCACGTATTTATGCTATGCACGTTGAACGAAATACATTGTGTTCTTAAGTATTTTCGCAATTAAACGAATATTTAATGTATACCGTTAAGTAGATTTTACCAAGAAAAGATATTTCTATACGAATACATATGTATACGAATAATATGTATATAGGTATATTAATTATCATTAATGTATGTAGTAATATGATAAAGATACTAATATTCGTTACAACTTTAATGGAACACTTAAAATTAATGAATTTATTGACCATTTTAAAGACAGCGAAGGCTAGAAAAAAGGCTTGAAAAGATGGTAAGAATATGATATTAAATATAAAAAATCATTGCACGAGTGGGAGAATCCAAACACGTGAGAAGCACGATTTTAAATGAGGACAAACGTCACCAATCTTCGCACAAGTCGTGATAAATAAAATTTATCTTTGATCAATGTCACTAAATCAAAATCAGATATTGCTTTCCATACATCGATTTTATCTTCTAGAATGAACAATTCCACTATCAAATCTATTTCTTTCGTAGTTTCTATAGAGAGTACCAGACATACCTAATAATAAAAAGCGTAAACGAACTTTGTCTAAAACGTATGTATGAAAGAAAATCATTATTAGAAATAAATCACTCTATTATAAATGATATTATATATTTTAAAACCTATCTAAGATTTATTTATGAAAAGATCATGTTTGTTTCGTCAATAACGCTAATTTGATCAGATATTGCTGTTCTGTTATTGGTGTTGGTGAACCGAGAAGAGAGACACTTGGAAATTGAAACGAATAAAATTAATATGAAACGAGATATACATACTTATGTGGTAAAATAAGTTTGGTTTTAGATTTTAGTTAAATACCTCTTGGTTTGGATGCCGGTATCTGCATCCGCCCCGAAATAGAAATGATAGAGACCCTTTTCGTTGCATGGGAATGCATCATATTGTTAATAAAAATACTCAAGCGTACACACGATTTGTTAGGTAGGGTCGAGTTCCGAAGTAAATCGCAAAAAAGACACTACGATCCATCAATCGGTTGATCGTGGCTTTATAGTCCAACACCGAAAAGAGTTTCTCCCACTCTTATTTTTCAAGTTGCACGTTCTGCATGCGTACACACAATAGTACATTATCACTTTTCTCCCTTATCTAAATGGAAAACCAGACGAATACATATGTTGTTATAAAATACAATGATACTGATATATATATATATATATATATATATATATATATATATATTGTATCAAACACTACGCGCGTGTATTTAAAATTTTGATATATATAATTATATTAGCGATTTTTTAGATACAATATACAAACCAGACAAAAGCGGAATGAACATTACATATCATCCACGTTAGAAGGGAAATACACTTTAGTTGAAGATTAAGATAATTTATAATTCCATTGTCAAACTTTCGATAGAAATCGGTACGATTTCACATCTCGATAAATCCTTAATGACTGTGCAAAATCTTGCAAGACCTACATAATAACTTACATGCATACTTATATCGAAAATTTAATAAGACTGGACGGCCGTAATAAACAAATAGTAGACAAGTCGTATTCCGTTATATCTAAATGTTATATTTCCTACTGATGTCTAGCTATTAACGCGTTATTTTCAAACCCATTCACTTACCTCCAAATTTATATTCCGAATCTTTTATTATTTTCGATGAAGCAAACAGTATTTCAATTATAATTACATTATGATTACCAACAGATTTCGTTTCATTCGATATACTTATACATTGATTGTTTAAATTTAACGTAATACATTTAATTATCCAATTGGAAAAGCTTTCAACTGTTCGTCATATTTCACCAACCAGGGAGAAACTTCTCAATTGTTGGCTCGTTAAAGTTTTATCTTTACTCCTATAATTATATCCATATCTTACGAATGACTGTTTTTCATGAAAGTGCAACGACCCATCGTTCTAAGCACTTTTAAATAGTAAACTAATTGAACGACTTATTTATAAGCGAATATTAGTAATTAATTAAGATGAGATTCTGTTAGAATAAGTAAGACTTCATTTTGTTTAACTTATAAATATCTTTTTGCTTTTAGTAAATACGTCAATTTAAATCTTCTAAATATTATATGAAAAGAAAATTCGATAAAAAAAGATGCTTTACCTCAGGAATTAAAAAAATAGTTAAAAAATTGTTTTAAGAATAAATTATAATTGCAAAATAAATTAATCTCAGATACTAGAATCTACTTAAGAAACAACAGCTATAATAGTATGCATATAAAATTAGATTCTGCGATGCATTGTACGTAAAAATAAATATATGTAATAAAGGATAGGATTAGGTAGGATTTAGTAGGTATCATGTAAATCGTTACATTAGTTTGCATCTAATAATTATTTTATTTTTAGCAAAAATATGTAAAATTTGTGTTTGTGCACACGTGCGCGCATTATTGTATAAATAAATCGTGTTGTTTGAACAGTTTTACCCATATCTTTTTATTTTCATTTTCATTTTAAATACATTATTAAAGTACAATAATTTCTAAAAATCACATAGCTACAACTTCTTTTATATTGTACACAATATACAACGTTAGACAATTTCATACATAATTTACTAAAAAAATATCATACTGCCAATTGATTCTAAGTAACGAAGTGGTATTATTGCTAAAATTCAAATTTCTTTTTTAATATCATTTGAAACTTGAAAAAGTGCTACTGACATTATAAATATTTCCGATATTTATTGCATTTCTTTATTTGAATTCGTGTAACATGTAGTTTTAATTAAGGGGGCTCGCAATCGAACTATTCATATAGAAGTTTTATGAAACATTTTCTCCGAAATTAATGTAGCAATACCAATGAAATTTGAATCACGTACTCTGTTATTTTTAATACATCGATAAATTTAATTGCTAATAGTTCTAAATGAATCGAATACTCGGTTCTTTATATGTCTTTTAGCAAAAAAGTTACATGACTTTTAGTATATCGTTTAAAAACTGATAAATTATCATTTTTGTTCTCCGAATGTAGACGTTATTTTCCAAATTCCGTCATTCAGTACGTTCATTACCTTCGTAAGAGTCAGTACTAAAAATATGATTAAGAGAAAAATGTTTTTCTGATAAGCGACGATAATTCATTTGTTGAGAAACTTTGCCTAGAACCAGCAAAATGTACAAAAATTATGCAATAACTAGATGGAACTAGGATAAGAAACGCAGGTAGAAAAATAACAAAAATTTATCAGCAGGCGAGAAAAAGAAAATTGGAATATATCTTCCAAGAACAGGAGAAAGATGATCCTGCTTATGGAGCAGAAATTCATTAAATGAATATAGATCTTTTTTCCACTTTCTCTTTAATCTTACTTCTAGTGTACAAAATTGCACTATATTTTAACACAACCTGCAGAAATATCTATACGTATATTCCGAATCTGCAATAAAATAAAGATTTTTTTTTACATTTTTTGGTTACGAGTCCCCTTAAATAAAAAAATATCATTCTGTACATGTTAGATATTTTATTTAGATCAAGAGAACGACTCTGTTTCAAAGAATAAATGTAAGATATTGATGTTTGTTTAACATAGTAAGTATGATATTGATGTTTATTTAACATGTCATAAAGAAGGATACCTATATTTATGAGATAACCTAATATTTTATTAAAGGCTTCACGTTACCTCTTTCATTCAAGCTATTCTAAATTTTGATATGTTGCAAGTTAAATTCTTTTTTTAATCTCAGACCTAAATAAAAAATTGGTCTCATTAAACTGTTTGATGAAAGATTTGACTCAAGACTAGAATATAGCAAAAGCAATCTTGTATCTTACGAATGTGCAAACGAACAGTATATTATCGACGCTAATCATTTATATATACATGTATACTTAGTTTTGTAAAGCACAGCCTCTTTTTCATTATCTTAGCCGTTCTGTTGTCTAAACATCCTAAATCGTTTCTGCACAAAGGGATATTGTCTATCCCTTACACTTAAAATTACGTATAATTACTTTTTTGGTATTTACCAATATAAATACGTATATCACATTGTCGATTATCAACCACGTTGAAGAAAAATATATTTACTGTAAATCATTGGTCGCAATCGGCACGAATCATAAATTTAATGTTTGCGGAAGATTAAATACATTTTGTATTCCACCTAGACTCTAGAGATTGTTTAACATATTAATTGTTTGAAAAGAAACTTTATGAATGAAAAAATAAAGGAAACAGTTTCTAGAATTCTTGGATTTTAAAATCGATCGTTCCTCTAAATCTGCAATAATAAAAGTAGTTAGTCATTGGTTAAATGTATCGAATCACATATATAGAAATTACTTAGATCCAATTTGTATACGTATATGATGCTACAGAGAAACCACATACGGTTCAAGTTTTATTTGAAATAACATTTTGAAAACGTACATGGCGCTTGCGACGCTAAAGGAACATAACGCAGATATTTCTGCATATTCATATAACTGTTAATTCTTTCTCGCTTTGTCCTTTGATATTCGTAATTTCAGGATTGTTCCATGGTTGAATTTCAGTACTGCCAAAAATAATAAAAATTAAATTTCCTAAAATGTAAATAGCAGCAGACAAGTAGAATACTATATTCCACTGGGTCACATCTTTCTGTAAAGAAACAAATTAAGGAAAAAATTAAATTAACATACGTAGTTATCGGTGAAAAATGTCACGGTTAAGACAAAATTGCTTCGACTTAACTACCTCGTCTTGTGCGATTATGCCGCAGACTATTGGTGCGATTATTGCAATTATAGATGCTATACAATTTGTAATGGACATCAACGTGCCAGCGAAATTTGGACTTAAGTCGATATGATTAATTTGAAATCCGGATAGAGATCCAGCATTTAAACCTACAGCTATCACAAGGATAGTTGTAGCCACGGTGGCATCGTGCACCGACATCGTACCAAGGCAAATCAAAGCTATCGCTGGTCCCCAGTGTGCAATCGTATTGCAAACTTTTCGAATTACTCCTCTTGAGATATTCTTCTTTAAAGCATAATCAGCTAACCAGCATGTTGGAAAGCTTAGTATCCACATCGTTAAATAAGGGAGCGCCGATATCCAACCGTTCTGAAAAATCCAGATATCTATTTTAATGTAACAATTTCACATTCTGTTAAATATCAACGATACGTTACGAACATGTTTTATAACTTTACCAATCATATGGCAAATACATAATATCGAAAGTTTACTCCACGTGATGTCGTAAATTAAAAAGAATTCAAGAACATCGTAAACTTCGATAAAACAATAGGGCATAGTGAGGAATATTTATCAACATGAGTATCCTTATCTCGATACGATCGTCTATGATGTAGTGTATAATTTACTGCCGAAGATGTTATCGACTTTTATGTGTGTGATTATCAGAAAAAAAAGCTAACAGCAATCAGTAGCAGTGAAAAATTGAGCATACTATTTATCTATTAACTATTATTGTTAAATGAAATAAAAATTACAGTCATGTATGTGTACGCTGAACAATATTTTGAAGAAAATTAGTCAAATTTCAATTGACATTCGATTGATAATTTCCCTAGACGTAATGAATTACTCCCGAAGAAGAAAATGAAGAAAATACTGATAATCTTACCGTTAATCCTACTACAGTGAGTTTGCATGCGTAACACAATTGCAAAATTTTAAAAGACCGTTTGTACAATACGACATTTCTACAACACACGTAAAAAAATTAGAAGAAACCCTTGTATGGTACACAACACAGTTTCGCCCTAACACGGTTTTTACGTAATAGAAAGATCGTTCTATTTTGCGATGTGGTGTACATGTTAAATTTCAATTTTAATGTTTCAGTGTTTAATATTTGTTCGAAAGGTTTAAGTAACGGTAAAACAGTTTTGAAAAAATAAAATTAATTTTTTAAGAATTAATTTCTAATTAAATTCTTAAAGAATCCTCAAAAAATTAAGATTTTAGTAGATAATTTTATTTATTAAAGCATTATATTATTACGTACCTCCTCCAACTTAAATTGTAAAATATTGTTCATGTAAATTGGTAGTTCTGTGATAAGAGTCCAATAGCCCCAATTTTGTCCACAATGTACAATTATAAGAGCCCACATCGGTACTGAGGTTAATATAGCTTTCCATGGTGTTTTCAACGCCTTTGGAGAATCACAAACATACATAAAATATACATCAATGATCCATAATTTATAATATTAACGTCCATGTTCGATAAAATAGCTTAAAATACGTTATATTTGATAAAATAAATATACGAATTGACTAATTATTCTACTGTTTGATGTTTAAAAAATAAATTTTTAATCGATATATACGTGTGTACTTTCAAAGCAAAATTGCATAAAACATAGGTATTGTTTTTATAAAAATGACACTTATTTTAGCGTCTATGCGTCATTTATCGTCGCTTACATACGACAATACAACGCATTAACTTTATCACAGGTTTTTCTTCTAATGGACATTTCTGCCAAAAATATGTACATATTCATAGATCATACGATAACGTTGATTTCGAAATAATTTTGCAAACGCATATTATATTTTATGGTTTTTATGTTGACGAAAGGAAAGTTTTCAATTGGTCGATTGATATATACGGGTGTATGTATACATATACATACATGTATATGTGTTTACATCTAGTAGATTATATCATAAAATATGATTTCTAGAAACATGTTGGGTAATCATTGTATTGTTTCATTGCATCGTTTTCCTCACAGCATCATGTTACATGGACACTTAATATTGTTTAGAGTACGTAGTGACGTAATATTAATATATATTAATGTCCTAACGTAGGATAATATATGTCACTGAAACATATATATGCATCACTGAAATAGCATTCACAAATATAAGAGGAAAGTTTATTCATGTGGAAAATCTAATGCAAACGTTATACTAATCTGTAAATTAAAACATGACTTGTCAATACTGATGACGTTAAATCTATAATTCTCTTGAAATATGTTTCGAGTATTATACGCATGATAAAAGGAAAGTACCTACGTACAGCAAAGCAAACCTTTCGATTTTATTATAGAGAGAAATAAAACGTAAAACAGGATATATATCTACTAGACGTAAAAAGGAACAATACAAGCAATGTCGTTAGAAAATATAAGTATCACTGGGAAGAAAATATTTTTACCGTTTTGTTATCTGATTTTTCTTTATCCCCGGGAGTTTTTAAGCTATCTTCTATATATCGCCTTTCTTTCACCGATATCCCCGAGTGCTTAGAAGGACTGTCCGAACCAAAAAAGAAAAATACAATGGCCCAAATTATCGCTAAAACACCAAACGTATAAAACACAGATGGCCAGCCAATACTCGAAGCTGCTAATTCTCCAGATATTGGAAAACAAATCACGGTCCCAAATTGTGCCCCAGCGTAAGCAAGCGTGCCTGAAATAAATATACGTACTATATTATGATATACATAAATGTGGAATTTCAGTTAATAGCAACAATGTACTTGACAAAATACGACTTATAACAAAATGTTTATTGGATTGTTCGTACTAGAAAATGCACAGCGAAATTTAAGAAAAAAATAGAGGATTAATAATTTACTTTAAATTATTTTCCTTAATACGGATCTAAACATGTATAATACGATATGTTCGTTAGACTTCAACGATATAACTAAATTTGACTTTTAGTTTATCGCCAATATTAAGTTTGAACAATTCTGTGCAAACAAGTACAAATCAGGTATTTTATGAGCATCGTTAAATCGGTTCAAATAAAAATTTATCTGTGTCGAGGACATTGAATGGGAATATTATCGACAAGTTTGTTTAGTTAAGGATTGTCGATTAAAAAAGCAAGTATTTTTCCATGTTAAGTTAGTTAAATTAAATAAATTAATATTGCACACCAATATCGATCAATGTAAATGATTTTAAACGAAAAGTACGTAATATAAGAAATCCGCATGTTCATAGCGCTTCCTCAATGTTCCGTATTTTTGTAAACAAATATCGTAAAGTATACAGTAGTAAAGTTCAAATTTAATCTAATAACCTTGCGATTGTACTATCAGGAGTAATTCACTTGAAAACACTTTCTGAGTTATTTCCAATAAGTAACATACACTAATAATATGAGGAGCATAACCGAATCAAGGGCAACGCGTTTTAAAAATGATCATCTATCATGGCATACGATGTATTTCTTTCTCTGTAATAACGAAAATTGAAAAAAGATAAAACACCTTTGTATCGTATAGTAAGTGGTAGATTGCGAATTTTACAACTATTTTGATGAATATTAACTGGATTAGACTTAGATAAACTTGGATAAAAATACGAAACAATGTCAATATAAAAATGTTGAATCAGCAGTAATAGAAAGATTAAAAGTAAAATAACCGAATAATCATTAAAGTTATACAGATTATACAGTATTATTAAAGTATACAGTTATACAGTATTATTAAAGATACAGATATCTTAAAAATGTATTACATAAAGAAGGTTAACAATTCGAATTCTGGACGTATACGACCAATTATATATTTATTGCACGTGTCAAAATAGAGGTCATGAGCATTGACCATTCAAGGATATGTATTGAGTATTCAAGGATTATCCTTCATCACTTGTTCTTTAGTGTGTAGTATGCGTATTACAGCATAGTTGATTAAGGAAATATAGGAAGGTCAGGAACCTTCGACTGACACAAAATAAGCTTACGCGATGGAATCGATCAATGTAATGACACATTCTAGGTCATACGCAATATACAAAATGTTTCGCGTAACTAGGATAATCTATACTATATTATATTCAATCCAATAATATTTATTGAATTTAAGAATCACAGAATAATTTCAAAATTAATGTTCGTTTTTCTAAATACCTTTTTTTTGTAGTATTTGCCAGTTTATATTTATATGACATTTTCATTTAATTCTTATTCGCAAAATCTTCTACCGCAACTTGGTGTTGTTAAAAATCTGAGACACCCTGTATATTTATTGCTTTTATTAATCGGAAAGTTCTACTATTCTTCATTTTTTCTTACCTCCGCTTACTCGATCCTACTTAATTCGCTTTTTTATAGCTGACATTTCAATGGTTAGGATGCACAACACATACGTATCAACTATCTGTAATTCATAAAAATTCCTGGTAATTATACAGAAAAGGGCACACTTCGCCAATTTCAATGACCATGAAATATGTTGTCAAGGTCAACATTTTGAATATCTGTTTCCTATACACGTTACCGCTGTTCGGTTATAGTTTCTAGGTGATATTCGCAAAAAACTTTGATACAATTTATGTTACGATTACGCTTCATTCTGAAGTAAGCGGACGCATTTTTATATAGTCCAAAATTCTAAATTCTAAATCCATCGATGACAGAGACAACCATTTTTAATATCGTGTAAATAAATATTATGTAAACAAGGGTTATGGAGTGGCTGAAGTAGTACCAGCCGACAGTAGGCAATCGGCAATGCAAGCGTGAAATTGTTTTCAACGAATCTATTGATTGATACATAAAATGTTGCATTATACTGCTCGTGTATACTAAAAGGTTAGAGTCAACAGATGGTATATACATTTAGTGTTCTATATGTAAATACCAAATTCCTAAATAACCCGCGAGTCAAATTTTCGATCGACCAAATTATATCACATCCAAGTAATATTATATGCATAACAAATTAGCAATTATCCTTACTTAAGATGTGGTAGTCTGATAGTTCTGTAAAAGATATTAATAAAACAGTTCTCACCAAGTCGTGCTCGTTCGGATGGCGGTGCCCACTTAGAAAGCAGAGTCTGTATACACGGTAAAAGACAACTCTGACACAGTCCCATGCCTACTCTACAAATACAAACACCAATGTAACTCCCATAATGAGCAACGGTCGGTGTCAAAATGTTTAAGATTCCGCAAAGCAGTACTCCAATACTGAGTAATTTTTGTGCGCTCCATACTGTAGCTATGTAGCCACTTGGTATTTGCATTATCGTGTAGCCCCAGAAGAAAGAAGAGAGGATCAGTGACTGCTCCGTCGATGTCCAATTGTAGACCTAATTACAATAGTCAAACATAGAACAATCGTTTTACAACAATGGTATGAAATAAAATTAACGTTATAAAATATGCGCGTAATTTCAATTTGAAAGATAGAATAACGATGCCTTGGAAAACTAATTGACTTATAATTAGTACAATTAGTATTATGCTAATCTTAATTATAGAATTTCAATTTTTATTATATATACATAGTATATCGTTCTCACTACTAGGAAGATAACGTTAATTCTATTACATGATAAAGATACAATTTGTTTGACGAGCAACAGTAACAGTATATTGTACTGCGTAAATCATTCTGTAAAAGTATTTTCTAACTTTTCGCCCATTCTGTGTACATTATACATATAATATAAAGAGGAGTCTTCTTTTATCCAGTTTTGCTTTAATCGACTCTCACCTTCACCGGCCATATATTTTCGTTGCGAAACATAAGGGCATAAATAAGGAAACTTTGCAAAAAAAAGTTCGAGAAAAGGAACGAATATTGTATTTTTCTTAATTTAAGTTTACTTTAATTTCAAAAGGAAAACGCTAAGATCGTAAAGGATTTCAAACGTGTTCCTTATCTCACATTTTGCATCGAACCAATTCAAGATTAAGTGATATCGAATTGGTGTGTGTGTCATTATTTAATTTTTATTGCCTTGACGATGTTTACTAGATAATTTTCTTATATCTTGAATTTAAGATTACATACAGAAAAAAAGATTACATAAAATATAAAACTTATTTTCACTCTATGTTTATTACGCTTATTTAATAATATAATACAAAGGGTGTTATTAAATCTTCAATTTCTTGGAGAATTTATCGTTACATGATAGTATCCTATGTGTGATTTGTATTAGAAATTTTATTACTTTTTGAGATTATATACAGCCAGAACCATATACATGTATATACATATGTATAAGCTCATTTAAATATAGACGTATGATTTGCTGGACTCTTCTTGTTTCCCTTTTCAAAAAACAACATCATTACGTTATATCTCATGTAACTCTTTTCAAGAAAATATTTTATAACGGATTAAGTGATTCATTCTATGCTATATATGTACATCTAGGACGTTCATAATGTTATATAATGTACGAACGAATAGCAGTCCGAAGGCTACTGAATTTATCTCGATATTTTTCTAATGCCATAAAAATAATTCTAGCAAATTATATTTATTATAGTATAAATACTATATTTATTTTCATGACTCACTGATTATTGTAAAAATTACTGATATTTATTTTGTATAAAAAATTTGGAAAATTTTAATCAAGTCGACCAAATAATTACAAGATATTGTTTACACAACTGCTTTCTATATCTATTCACTGTTTCTATATATTTTTCAACAACGATAGTTTTTTTATGATCATCGCAAAGATCACGTTTTAACGTTGCACAAGACTAAAGGAACATGTATAATATAAACGCGTATTCTTTCTTTTATGACTGAATGATATAAGATTTTAAAGTAATATAACTAAATACTTAGAATAAATTATATTATCGACACGTATTGCTCAGATTTAAATAAGACCCGAGTATTTTATAAAATATATCTAATACATATCAACATCCAGATAAAAATGTTCAATATTCTCAACATTCTCAATACTCTCGATATTCTTTAAACATTCGTTTATGTAAGAAATTACTCTTATCAGGTTTATATAACTAGTAAGGAAACGTATTTGGATTTCATAAACTCTTCGCTCTTCGTAAATTCAACGTTAATCGTGTGGCAATAATGCCGATTATCTTAACAAAAGTCTGCCTTAGACAAAATAGACTACTTCCAATCATGGTTCTAAAAGGATACTAAATAATTTATTAAGGATACTAAATTTTAGAATAAATGAATATTTTATAAAGTGCAATTATAACATATTTTATATACTACTGTGTAATAACTATCACAAGATCCTAACTCTACTAACTTTATAGACTTAATACAAATTCTGTAGCCACGTACATATACATAATTTACCTCGAATGCATGATCAGTGCTTTGAGTGTTCTGTGTCATTGCAACAATAGCTACCGACATGCTCACTCGAAGACAATATCCAATTACCATTCCAAAAAACTGTAAAAAAACTTGCAGGTGTCTGATGCCGAGTCCACCTGCAAAAATTCAATATCGTATGTTCTAAGATTATAGATAATATATCTATATATATATGTATGTTACAAAAATTTATGTTTATTTTGTTATGTCCATGATTTCTTGGATGCAGTCTAAACAAAGGAGAATCGTCTTTTGGACTCGACAGATTGGAACGCTCAGCACCGTTAATTAATTCGAAATTAAAAAATTAAATCACATATATTCGTTTTATAGGCTGCATGTACATATTGTACATAGGTACATAGGTACATCGTACATATGACATATATCTCCTTCGCTATAGTAAAAGATAAATCTCTTTATCTTTGATCTAACTGGAATCAATGATATCAAAGCTTGATGACTTGAAACTATCACAGCTATTTTTTATACTATTTATTACAAACACCTGTTTTTGTAATAAATAATTGATACATAAGTAAGTTCATAAAACATGTGTTGTTATCGTATTACTAATCTGTTATTTTATAAACGTAAAACAAAACCATCCTCAAATGCGTAATCGATATTCCTAATTGCGTAGGTATAATATTTCTAACAAAATTGACTTCATACATCATACATATCTGTATGAAAAGATTAACTTTTTACATTTATTATGTTATACACAGTGACGGCTCGTGGATTTTATACTTACTACTGGTCTTGATTTCACACGTGCTACATGCACATGTAACCATAAACAGCCTCAAATTATTGTTAAATCAGCTCGACGATATGTTTTAGCTACAAACATATCGATAACCCTGGTATTGTATATAGATCGCCTTCTCTTTGGTTGTCTGAACGATAGTCAAATTAGAAGTAGCCCTTTTCAGTGTTTTAGTATAAATTTTTTCCTCAGAAGATCGCGTAGAAAATAGCTGTCTTAACCAAGAATTGTCGGAATTCATATTTAAAGATCGATATACTCGCGTATTAAATTATCATTCGAATTACATTAATAGAACGAATAAAAAAGAACTTTTTAAACATTCACATCAAAGATAGCGAGTGAGACGCGCGACACTGACTACAGCACAAAACAAAATATCTTGAACAAAGAAAAGATTAGTGAGAATGTGAGGGAAGATATTGACGATAATAACGACTATAGTATACATTGAACAGTGATAGGGTTTTCTTTAGCCTAGAAGCGATTTTCAAACGCTGTGACCGTATCTGGCAGTGAGTCACGAAGAAATAACGACGGAAAGCAAAAGTTACGATATCAACGATTTCCAAAATATTTTATTTCGTGCTGCAGCACGATAATACGTATTGAGTAACCGCTCCTGTTCATACATTATTACAGATTTTCTATGGTAATTTAATAATTTGGCAATATTTTACACTATACTTTACACGTACACCATTGAAAACCATTTACAGGATTGAAGAATGCAGATTCAGAATACAAATTTTCATTCAAATATTAATTTCATTTGTTAGAAACTTTGCGTATTGTATGTTCCAGGGCAGGTAATCAAAAATAATCTTATCATTTCATCTTAATGAAAACGGCAAGAAATATTCTTAAGTAACGATTATATGTATATACATGTATATTTAAGATTTAATTCAAACGATTTTATTCGGTATAATATAATCGACGTACATATATAAAAATTTAATTCAATAGTATAAACTTGATTTACTATAAGTGATTAAAAAGTCGCTTATATCCTACAAATTCCTGCTCGATTTACTTGGTAATAGACTTATATATAGGTGCATAGTCTTAAGAAACTAAATATGTTGTGTGTAACAAGAAGATATCGATTTAATCATGAAAGAAATAAACAATTATTATTCAAGCATGAAAAACTTAAACGATAATATCAGTTGTTAAAAAAAACAAGATTAATAAAAGGATTGATAAACGCTTAAATTACATAAAAGACATCATAGATAAAACAGATATTTAACATTGAATGTACCGACCGTTTTCTGTACATATAAAATTTTGTTGATAAAGATTATTTCAAGGTATTTTTTTACGACTATATATCTATAATATGTAAAAAAATTTAATTCTAGTTTTTTTTTCTAAGATTATTTAACATTGTGAACATTTCATAGATCATTTTGTAAACTGTAAATGATAAAATTAGATCTCTATCCCTTTGTTCTTACTAATCTACTAGCTACAACTGTCTGAAAACGGCAAATAAAGTACGAAAAATGTAAATTCAGAGTAGATAGATTTAAGGCGCTTCCTTTAAAAATAGCTGTTTAGTCAAAAGCTATTGGCGCATATATAAAAAGATACAAGGAATATTTATAATGAAATTTATGGAACTACGTGATATTATTCGTTTAACGCAAAAATTCCATTCAACTAGCAATTAATTTTAAAATATATGGAACATTTTAGTTTTATCATCACCACCGCTTTTATCGCTAAACATATTTATTCTATTACAAAACACTAAACTATATACACGAAATTACAAACTATCGATATCAAAATAATTATTAAGTTAATGAAATACAGTTACTCGCGTAACTAATCAAACACTTTTTAAAACAGAATAACTTTTTTAACAGTGGACCAAATGACTTGTATCTTTTTTGAAAAAAATTGCGACTGATCGGAATCGTGAAAAAAAAGTAAAGGTCGCCTTTTACGACTTTCTTATCTACGCTTGCTATGAGAATTTTAATTTTCAACACATTTTGAAGATTTATGTCAGTCATGTATGTGTATATATGTATTTATTTATTATATATATATATTCTAGATATATATGCTGAAAATTATGTCAAAATTATTAAATACGGAATGATTAATACAGAAACAAGCGACAGGTATCGAAAGATGTAAGAATCTTTAGATTTTAGACCGAAAATCATGAAACACTGGGTTTTTCACTTTTAATCGTTTAAAACTCACAGAAACGTTAACCAATTTCGATGAAATTTTCAACATGTGTATAACTGACATAAACCTACAAAACGTATTGTTTCATTTCTTTCCGATTTTCATTACAAGCTCAGATAAGAACTGCAAATTTTTTAAAAGTATTTTACACGTCATCTAGTAAACTAATCCGTTTACTTCTCAAAAAAACTCAAATCATTTGGTCGAATTTTAAAAAAGTTCTGTTTAAAGGATATTTGATTACCGATCTTATGCAAGTAACGATATTAAATATTATTTACGACTTAAATTGTTATTCCATAACATGAATTGATAAAGTATCATTGAAATTAGGCGTTATTAAATGTACACTTGAAAAATATTATAATTCGTAATTGTCCAAACATTAGAAATATCTCAAGGTTCAGTTGTAAATCAAAACTATATATATTTACCACAAATTGTCGTTGATCCTTTTTCTGTATTTTCTGCAGGTTCCTCGTTCTCCATAGCTGTAATTTCTGGTACTATCAAACACAGACTGTTCAAATTCTAATCTTACTAGATGATAATTCACCATACTTATATCATACATGTCTACTCCCCGCCCACTGACATGCAGCCTCTCCTTTTCCTTACACTTCTATCCCACTTCTTTGCAATTAGTCTTTGCTTCATCAGACTTCAAAAGAACATTGAACGTGTTTCAATGAACAAACGTAAAGATAATTATTAATTAGTCTCTCACACTTGGCAGGTGATAACAATCACAGCATTATACTGATTAGAGAATTTAAGAAAGTGCCATTTTTCTTCGAAGTACTAATTAATGATAAACTAATACAAGAATTAATGTGTTCCTCTTCAAAAGCAAATAAAATAGATAACAATATACAAGTCAATGACTACTCTTTTATTATAGTGATATGACGCATATTAATAAAATAATTTTCATTATGTCATTATACCCTAATACTATACAAAATGACATTGTTATTTACATTATTATATTTCAAAAATATTTGACACATTTTCATTTATTTTTCAGATGTTTAATTTGTTTAAAATTATACTTAATTATTTCAATTTATATAAAACATTACCTTACCATCTTCAATACAAAAAACAGCAGTTTTTTCAGCAAATTATTAATGAAATAATATTATACATATAATAATATTTTACATAAAATAATATTTTTTTAATACTTAATTGGAGATCGTCTATTTTACCACTATATTATTATAATTATTATTTTTTCGGAAGAATCGCAATCAATCTTAATTTTTTCATTAAATTGTAGGTAAATACATGTTTTTTAAAAAAATTTATTTCTAGCTTACATATAATTTATGTCGGTCAGATTTGCATTATATTATGCATATAAAAATATATCTTCTACATACATTGAATATTAACAAACATATATGTTTTATATTTTATATCTTGCGTTTCTTTTTTAAAGGTTTGCCGCAAGTATTGCCATCATTTATGTTACTATTATTAATATTTGTATGTGTATTTTCACTAGGTGCTTTTTTTGGTGTTGGACATAATCCTAATTCGGGCAATCTGAAAGAAAGTGATACACTAATATATAACGTACTTATTGCATAAATTGTAATTTATGCATTTAGTTTTAATTCAAATGAGTGTATCGATAAAATTTCAACAACTATAATGTAATAACAAACAATACATTTCATAGTCTATTACTTTATATTTATTTTGCACTATTTTTTCTGCATTTATTTTTCTGTATTTTTCTATAATTTACTAATATCATTTTACTATATTATGTTTTACTCATTTTATTAGTGAAAAATAAATGAAAAGGAGAATAGTTTGTTGGAAATATCAAATCTTTAAACTTTCGTTAATCTCTTATTATATGTTAAATATGTCATTTTTATTAATTAGAAATAGCTTCTTATTTTATTAATTATAGATAAATTATTGATCAATACCAGAAATTCCGAATTAATTTCTCGATATATTTCTAATATTTCAAACAAAATTAATAAATATAACATAATTCGGTCAATATAACTTTAAAACTGAAATGTATGAGTCTTAAAAAGTTCATTTTACTTACTCAACTGCATTCCCATTCGGTTCTCGAACATTTTCCGTATTTTGTACAGTATTCATATTTTGTGTTGTACAATTCTCTTTGTGTTGACTTTGCATAGCAAATTGTTGTGTTTGTGTGGAATATAGACTTCTAGAGGATATTTGTGTGGGTGGGACAATACCATTTCTTTCATAATACTTTTTCAAATCAACCGTAACACTCTTCGTACAGTTGTATGTTTTGTATATCCCAACCAGATAATCCGCAAGTTCAAACATATTTGATCTTAAAGATATAACTATAAATTGTGCATTTTTTGTCCTTTCCTTAATATAATTTCCAACAATTGAAACATTTTTAAAATCTAAGGCAGCATCTATCTCATCCATAAAATATAAAGGAGTGGGCTTATAGTGGTGTAGTGCAAATACAAGAGCCAAAGAGCTTAAAGTCTTTTCACCACCACTAAGATTGCAAATATTTTTCCAAGATTTCTTTGGAGGTCTTACGCTAAAAGCAATTCCTTCGCTAAAGGGATCTAAAGAATCGACCAATTCTAATTCGGCGTCACCACCTAATGTAATCATTTGATACATCTCTTTTAATTTATCAGTAATGATAGTAAAACCTGCAAGAAACTCTTGAATTTTTCGACGCCTTGCTATTTCATAAATATCTCGTATTTTATTGCGTTCAGTAGTTATTTTTTCTAAATCAGCAGCACGTTGTAAATATAATGCATCTTTTTCTTTATATTCTGCTATAAGTTGCACATTTGGAACTTCCATAGGTAACTTTTTCTTAGCTTTTTGTAAATTTCCTATAAGAACTTTTTCTTCCAATTCATTAAGTTCCTCTTCTGTTAATTCTTTCAACTCTTCCACATTTTCACCAGGTATTATTTGAAGTTTTAAGTTTGCTATTTTTCTTGTGAAATCTGGTATTTTTTGATTTAAACCCTTAATTGTATTTTTATGCTCTTTTAATTTCTGATCGAGATCTATTTTAGTTGCTTTCAATTTATTCTCCCTAGCCTGCAAAATATCTAATTCTTCTTTAAAAGATGCCATAGCTTCGTCTCTTTCTAAAAGAGCTTCCGTGAATTTCTCAAGCTTTTTTAAATATTCTTTTCCTTGTTCTTCTAATTTTTGCTTTTCTTTCTGAATATCACGGAGTTTTTGTTCACAAGTACGTACATCATTTTCTAAACATTCTATTCGTTGCTCGGTTTTCTTTACATTTCTCTCAGCTGTTTTAATAGCAACTTGCAATCTGCATATTTCAGCTTTAGCTGTATCAATTGCTTTAGATAGGTCAGCTACCTTCTTTTGTTGATTTTTCACAAAACTTCCTGACAATGTATCTACTTCTTTATTAATACGAATTACCTGATTTTCAACAGTTTTTGAATTCTTTTGCACATCTTCCAAAGTTTCCTTTGCAGAGTTCATCACTTCCTTTAGCTGTTGCACTTTTTGTGGGTTTGATATTAATTCTACAGTTCTTTTCTCTTGAACTTTAATTTGCGCCAATAACGATGGTTCTTGTTCGCTTAATGTCTTCATTTCGATGTACAACTTTTCCTTATTAACTTTCATTTCCTTTAAACCTTCATTTAACATATGAATCTGATTTTCTAAAGATTGAGATCTAGCTTTAAGTTGATTGCACTCTTCATAAGTTTTATTTAAATCTGACTCTAATGTTTCAATATCTGTTATACATATTTCATTTGTCACAACTTTTTGTCCCATTCTCCCTTTCATTGCAGTTCTTCCACCTCCACTCATTGTTCCTGATAATTCTATTAATTCGCCTTTCAAAGTAACTACTCTGAAACGTTTATAACCATATGCAATACGTGTTGCTTGATCTAAATCATTTGCCACTAATGTATCTTGTAATCCATAATAAAATGCTGGTAATACTCTTTCATCTTCAACTTGTATTAGATCAAAAAGTCTTGGAACATTCTCAGGAGTTTGTATTCTTTGTTTACATTTTGATACTAAACGCTGTTGCTTTTCTAATGGTATAAACGTTGCACGTCCAATATCGTTTTGCCGAAGAAATGTTATACATGTTTGTGCAGTTGTTACAGTATCGACTACAATGTTATCTAAGGGACCACAAGCTGTTGAAACTGCAATGTCATATTTGCTGTCTATAGCACCAAGATCACCCTACACATAAACAGATACATAAAATTCTTATTATACATATGCACTACAAAATACTTTCTCTAGAAAGAGATATATTTATAATGCACTATATATTTATTCCAAGCAATCTTCACAGCAATAAAGATGTACGTTATTCTAATTGAATAAAAATACCTTCCATTTTTTCTTGCACTTTCAAACAAACAGACAATACCCAGTTACAGGGTATTTCACTTAAATTAAATATCTAAATTATTTCCATTGCTATTGAAGATAAGAAAAAATGAGTAAGAGACATTTAAATTCCCTGAAAGTTACAATTTCCCTTGAGGATTATTCCAAGGTCGACATATTTTTTATAATTGTGATCGACAGTTGTAGTCGACATCAAGACAAGTTCAACAACACGATGACCTTGAAATAATTTTAAACAGTATGATAGCAATATTCAGTCATTAAGTCACTATTAATTTACATACCAATCTTCCAAAAACACCAGGAATTCTACCTTCCCTTTTTTCCCTCATTAAACTGTCTATAATTTTATTCCTTGACTTATTTGCTTGCATAGCAAGTTTTTGTTCTTCAAATGAAATTCTCATCCTTTTCAGCTTTGAAGTCATTTCAATTTCCTTTGTTTTCATCTTTTTTAAATCTTGTTGTGTCTTTATTAATTCTCCTTCATTATAAGGAATTTTGTTTTCTAAGCTGTGTAGTTGTTCGTTTCGTGTCTTTAAATTATCTACTGTTAATTTTAAAGAATCTTTTAATTTTTCTAATTTTTCTTTCTCTGTTAATTCTATAGAGGTATACAGTTCTAACTCAGATTTAGCAATATCAAATGCTGCTTGTGCTTGATTAACATCCTTTCTTAAAGATATTAGCTCTTTCTCAAGTTCGGAACGGTCATTCAATAGTGGTTTAGTCTTCTTACTTAATTCAGCCATCAACTTTTCCAATACTACTTCCTCTTTTTCCTTATTTTTCGAGTGTTTGTCGACAAGTTCCTCACATTCTTGGATATCTTTTATACTTTTTTCTGGGACTGTATACAGTTCTTCTAATTTAGATTTTTCCTATAGAGAGTAATTAATTATTTATTTAATTATTTATTTATTATAATTAATAACTAGTAATAAAATTAATAAAATAATTATCCTAATCTTTTTTATAAGGGTAATAAAATAAATTTTACTGTTTTTAAAGATGCAATGTTAGCTTTTCGTCTTTTATTTGTTTCCACTAATTCTGCATGAAGTGATTCGTCATATTTTCGAATTTTATCAAATTCTGTTGCAATTTCATCCTTGTCTTTCTGTAAAT